CCTTCCTGGCCACAAGGGCGCATTGCTGGCTCATGGTCAACTTGTTGTCCACCAGGACTCCCAGGTCCTTCTCCGTGGAGTTGCTTTCCAGCAGGTCAGCCCCCAGCCTGTCCTGGGGCATGGGGTTATTCCTCCCCAGGTGCAGGACCCTGCCCTTGCCTTTGTTGAACTTCAGGAGGTTCCTCTCCGCCCACCTCTCCAGCCTGTCCAGGTCCCTCTGAAGGGCAGCACAGCCTTCTGGTGTGTCAGCCTCTCCCCCCCAGTTTAGTATCATCAGCAAATTTGCTGAGGGTGCACTCTGTCCCTTCATCCAGGTCACTGATAAATAAGTTGAACAGAACTGGATCCAGTATTGACCCCTGGGGGACACCACTAGCTACAGGCCTCCAACTTGACTCTGCACCATTCACCACAACCCCCTGAGCTCGGCCATCCAGCCAGTTTTCAATCCACCTCACCGTCCACTCGTCTAGCCCACACTTCCTGAGCTTACCTAATCCTGCATCCACTGGCCTCACTTCCAGACCAACTAGACTAAAAGTATAAAGCTGTAGAAGAAGACTTACAAAGCTTCCTAAGCCCTGCTGAGAGGACTGAAAATAGTCTATCGGCTGTTTCACATCTCTTCTGTCTTTCTTTATGCATGTATATTGCTTCCTCTTTGGAAGAGGAGTACTCTGCCTGTACAGCGTTCAGCACAACAGGGCCTTGGAGCGTGACTGACCCTGTAGACTTCTGTGTGGCTCAGAGGGAGACCAGACTCAGTGGAGAAGTAGACCTGGCATGGAACATCCACTAGGAATTAGTTTGGATGATAGCATTTCTCAAACCTTCTGGAAAAGAGTTCTTGGATTATTTTAATGGAATAATATAAACTTGGTCATGTTTTGGATTCTTTCTCATGTTTGTAAAATAGAAAATCTGTAAAACTGTAGGCTAGGAAAAGAATACATCTTCTCGCAGGGTCTTCCCCTAGGAAGGGTAGAAATCTGTGCTTTCCCTGTCTTGCCTCATCTGCAAGCGTCTGCTAGCTTTTTTCCAAAGTTATCTTCACTAACAACTTTATGTTCACTTGGGATTCTTTTTCAGAGACAAACACAGACAAAGTTCCAATGCTGAATAATAAATATTAAATAACGAGCTCAATTGGTTTGACTAAAAGCTTTCTAGAGATAACTTAAGTCTCTTAAGAAGGTTGGGTTAGGTTTTTTTCTTCCCGCGGGTCTTATCTCTGCCAAGAATTTTCAACAGCTTCCCTAGAGCGAGTACAACTTCTTTTGTTTATCAGCAGCAGAAGCACAAGTTGAGGACCATAGCCAACATTTTTGCCACTGTGACGCCAAACTTATATAAACTATATCATGATTTGTGCATAGGTGTATTTGGGCAAGGCTAGTGGTGAGAGAGACCCAAATGCTTTCAAAATATATGCAGTATTAACATTTCCTCTTGCTAAAACATGTTGCAGGAAATCTTTATTCCATTTCCTACCTGCTTTTCTGCCAAAATGTTATTTGTATGTATCAAAACATATAGTTCCCAAAACACTCATGCTTTCTCTTCTCCTCTTCTTCCCATCCCAAATTAGCAAACTGGAGAAGTTTATTCTTCTCTCAAAGCTATGGAAGAGAACATCATCATGAGTGCTAATTCTTAAAATGAAAAAATAGACTGGAAAAGCTTTTTCAGAGTTGTCAGCTCTCAGAAAAAAAACAGGCATTGTCTCAAGGTAATCTGTAAGGCTAAGCTACAGAACGTTATTTTTATTTTTAGATAATGTAAGCTGTGTGACAAGAGAGTACTTGAATTACCATGTTTAATTTTCTCACTTATCATATTTTCACCCATTAGGCACTGTGGGTAAGATTTTGCAAACCCTTATATGGTTGCAGGCAGGAAAAACACAAACTTTTATCCAGCAGTTGCCAGAGGCTGCAAAATAGATGTTAAGAGTAGCAATCACTGTACTCTTTCTCTGTATTACAGATGAGGAATTGGAGAACATCTAGGCAGATGGACTTACAGAGGTGCTAGGCAACAGGGACCTTGATAGATCAATGGAAGTACAATCCATTGCAATGCTTGTATGAAATGAGGCCTTGCCTGTTGTTAGGCAAGTGGCTAAATACTATTATTTAGTGTTGTATCAGAGAGTTTTTCTGGTGGCATAATTCTTACAGCTCTATTATGCAAAATGTATCTCTTCCTGAAAAGTTGCGCCTTACCCTTGCGGCTAGATCCTTCAGGTTAAATTAGTTTTAACTCTGGTCTGATGTATTTTCATTTGAGTACAAATGTGCTTCATGTTGTAGGGTTTCTATGCCTGCTCAATTTCTGTGTCGTACCAGCCTCACTTTCCCCAGAGTATTGTTTCTCCAGGGCCAGACTTTGTAGCATCTGTCTTTGCTCAGACATAGATCTCTCTAACTAGTTGTACACATATTTTAGGAATTTAAGAAGGCCGAATTAGCTTTGCTGTGTGAGTGGGGAAAAAATTCAAAACATTCGGTTAAATGGAAATCAATACAGTCATACCCTGTATCGGTCTTGTTCTTTATTTATACAGAAACTCCATTTGTGTGTTGCGTGATCAGTGTTTTAAAAGATAAATATGACGACTGTCTTCTTCAGGTTTTTCTCTGCTTTGTCTAGGTTAAATTAAAGGATAGACTATATACATTCTTCTAAAGTCTTAAATTATTGTAAGTTGTCTGAAGAAGTACGTTCTGCTTGTCCACAAGTAGCGGAGCTGATCTGATTGCTCTCTGCCACTGAAAGGGAGAGATCTCGTCCTGTTTCTTTGGTCCTTGCTCTCTTCTCCTCCACTCTGCCATGTGGTCCTGCCTCTGCGGTGCGCTCTCTGGCAGTTGTGAAGCCTCTCTGAATCAATTCAACTCACTAATCAAGAAAAAACTTTTCTGTCAGAATTGAGGTCATAAGCAGCTTACATTTTATTGGGCAGAGAAACAAAATGGGAAAAAACTAAACACCTTCCTCGTATCGATGGAGGCTTTGGCCCTATGTCACGAAAATCTGGCACATTTCCCAACTCTTTCCAGGAGCCAGCCCAGGAAGAAAGGCTCTTAGTCACTGAAAAAACAAACATAGAGCAAGGTTAGTACTCTGTATATGACTAGGGGCTTAATGTCTGGACAGTTTTGAAATTCTTTATTAGGGTTTTTTTTGTTGTTCTGTTTTCCTATTTTTTACTCATTTTTTTTCATGGCCAAGGCCAGTTGTTTTTCAGTCCACACAAGTAGTCACACCCTGTTCAGAAAAGCGTCAATAGATGTATATATATTTGGCCTTTCTTGCTGTTCTAAGGAAAGGGAAGTCCTTTGTCTCTCTCCTGTCTCTTACGGGTTGTCATTGCTTCATGGCTGTCTGTAGCCACTTTGATGTGCTTTTTAGTGCCGATATACGACTGGTTCTGTAAGACTGCTTGTTCGGAGGAATTTTGGCATGTATAACTGGTTTACTTCAAGAGTAGAAGTAAGACTGTAGATACAAGACTCCTGTAATTAATTTTCTTTCTCTACCCGAGACACAAGCACGGTTCTGGCAGTCCTGAGAACAGGAGGAAAATTAGTCCAGGTAGAGCACAAGTGCTTTAAATCTTATGAATTAGACATGCCTGTGCCTTCACCACTATGGTGTACCCACTAGTACGTTATTGTAGCTACACAGTTGGAGTTACCCCAGTAGAAAGCTAGGCTAGATCACATGGCAATAAAACGCAGCAGTGTTTAGTAGACTGAAAAAAAAAATACTTGGATAATCTTTACAAGCTTAGTTGGGAAGAAAATATTGTGATGTTAAATGTGGTCAGTGACTGCAGGGAGAGAATACATTAGTATAAAAATCTTTCCCAGGTAGCCATTTTCAAAAAAAAATTTGAGCTTTAATCTACTGTACAAATAACAAAATTGTGTTTTTCTAGGTAACAGATGATGGCGTTATAGCACTAGTGAGTGGAACATGTTCAAAGAATTTAAAGGTAACTTATCTAACCTAATGCAAATAAATGCAAAAATCAAATATTTCATTTTTTAATTATTATTTCTAAGGGGTGGTTTTTATTGAGGCTTTTATTGAGGCCTTTATGTTTGTCTACATGTTTGCTCTGATTTTGGTCATGACTTGAATATTTTCTGTCTCTGTAGCAGTGCCCCAGACCAGCTTTTTGAGAACTGCAGTCTCTTTTCAAGAGGAATTTTCTTTTACTGAATGTAGCATGCTCATTTTAACTTATATTGTTTTAGAAAAGTGTATGACATGCAAATGGTTGCTTTTCCATCGGTTTGTTTGGAATTGTTTCTTGATTCTATTGAATCATTCTATTCAAGCACAATTAGTAATGTGGAGAATTTCATGGATGTAAGAAATTAGCAACTCTGGGTAAAAATCTAACTCATTAAAGCAGCTGTGAAAATGAAGTCCTCTTTGCAGAAGGATTCTCTAGACACATAGACAGTGATAAAATGATGGAGAAGAGGCATCCCAGAGTCCCATAAACGATCTACTTTTCTAAACAGTAATTTTGTTGCCTGTCTGCATGTTTTTGCTTTCATAAAGAAATCTAATCTAGAAGTTAAGATGGGAAACAAGTCATACTCTTGTTGTTGTTGTTTTTTACGCTATAAACCAGCAACAACAAAACAAAGTAGAAAATCTGGATCAACTGACAGTATTAACAACCTGGAAAAAATATCACTGTTCTTGTTTTATTTGAAGGGTGTACGTATGTGATTTTTTTTTTTTTAAGCTGATGTTTTTTCTGGACGATTTGTTTAGTCTTGATAAGTCTTGTGGTAGAGTTGAAAATACCATTTTTCAGAACGTGGCAGTGAGATAAATTCTTTTTGTCCTAGAAATGACTTGAAAATGTCTTTGTCTTTTAGCTTGTTACAGCATTAGCCATAACAAAGCATTGACTCCAGATTTTCTAAACAACTCTGAGAATATTCGGAAAGCCTTCGTATTACCTTTCTCTTATCCGGTCTACAAATATGAAGCAATGTGTATCACTGTAATTTGGATCAGGTCATTCTCAAAAGCCTTTAGCACGTTTTTCTTAAAATACAAAGATTTATTCACAGAATTTTATCATAACAAGTTTTGATTAAGCCATTGACTAGAGTGAGGTTCTATAAGGATTTAGAGAGTCTTGAACTGTTTTCAAGCAATGTTGGTGTAATTACTTTGACAGTATTCTCTTCCCTCTTGTATATTATCACTGCCCATGTTTTGCAGAGGATTATATTCTTGCGGGTAAGCCCTTTTTCTTCGAGCCATAGAAATTAAGTTATTTTTAATAAAAATGTCCAGCTTGCAAAATGTGTTCCTGGTTGCATTGCTATAGATACCATTTCTTTGAAGGTGCACAGGTATTTTTATGGGCTGTGGATGGATGCCTGTGGAGCAGTGCTCTGTCAGGGAGAGCAACTTGGGTAGCTTCCATAAGACCTGTCTCATGTATAAGGGATCAAGAAAGGTACCTGGTGAACGCAGCTAAATTCAGAAGCAGCTAAGCAGCTAGGAATTCCAGGGACAGGAGAAAATGCCTCTAATGCACTGCAGAAGGAAAGAGGCAGACACAAAGTATTAGAAAATAGAGCGAACAAGTACAAGACAGTCCCTTAGACCTACCTGTAGGGCCTGAAAAATTCTCAGTGGAGAAGACTGCTGCATGGCAAACTTAAGCAAGCCTATTGTCAATAGGTTTTATCTTAGTTACATTTTATAATAATTGAAATATTTCATGGACTACCATGAGTCTATGACTTTTGGGAGACAGGCAGAGAGAAGCAATTTTGTGGTAAAGAAAGTAAAAGACAGTAGGAATTTGTTTGGAAGAGAAAGGATTTTAAAATGAAGAGTAATGATTGGTATCAAGAAGAGATACAGTGGGATCATAAATATGACTAACAGTATGAAAATCCTCAGTTTATCTAATAAAATGATTTATATCTGCTAGAGCTTGAGGGCTGCTTTTATCAGTTGTCTTATCCTTCTTTAATTTCTGTTTAATTTATATGAGGATTATTTAAAAAGTGACCAAGTGTACAGGCTGTGCAAGTGAAGTTGTATAAAAAATAAACTTTCTTATCCCTTGCCATACAACGTTAGAATATTAAAATGCTGGCTTTGATTTTTTAGAGGAACTAATGGAAAATTTCAGTCATGCCACTTGCTTGATTGGCTTCCCTGTCTGCAAGACTGGGGTCATACCAGCCTGATGACATTTTTAAAAGTCCTTCAGGGTGGAAGTGGTATGGAGAGAAATATGTTGAAGAATAGTCTAGATTTGGTTTGTTTGTTTTACTGTGCTTAGTACTGACTTCTTTCTTAAAAGCTGTATTTTTAAATGCTTTTGCATTTAGCTTATTTTTGCAGTTTTAATAAGTCAAACATTTTAAGTTTTTATGTGGAATGGCATAATTTTAGAAACCAAAGCTATGCGCTATCTGTATAAATATGCAGCTGGAAGGGTTTATATCTCTGATTTATGAGCAGTGGGAAGAAGAAACTTAATACAGAACATCAAGATATTTGCTACAAACTCCTCTTTTTTTTCTATTCTAGTCTAGTCTTTTTTTCTATTCTATGTCATTAACATCTAACCTCTGCTTCGTGCCATCAAATTAAAATGCAAATATATAAACAGTGATCTATTGTCAGGTACTCGGGGGAAAAAAGTAGTATCTTAAACTGTGACTACAAGGCAGATTTATAACACTTTTTACTTCATTCAGAGGTGTTCAAATCTCGCATTTCACTTATCCATTATAGTGAACTAAAAACGATACATACGTTAGCTTTTTGTATTTCTTGCTTTTATGAACACAGTTCTTGTTTTCTGTGTCATCATTCTGTATGATATTATATTTATTACAAAAGGTCCCTTTCATTCATATGCTCTTCAAATATCCTTGAAGTTCATCATTTGAAAAGGTACTCTTTCACAATAAAAAAAATTCTTATTTCTTTACCTTGGGCTACTCAAAGTACATTTTCCCAGATCTCGTGTTCCACTAACTTTACGCTTCTCTTTTTGCATTTTTTTTGGTATGTTATATATATTGATATAGGAGGCAGTTTAGAAAGCGCCCATTCAGCACCCCTCTTCCGCCCCCCCACCCTCCCCCCCAAAAAAAAAAGTTAAAGTATACAGATGCACATTACCAGGGAGAAGAAAGATGACTTTGGGTGTGAGTAACAGACTAAGAGTAAGGGGATTGGAGTCTACTACTATGTGAGGCTGGAAAAAACATTTTCTTCCTCCTTCTCATCCATAAAAGAAAGATAATAATCCTTCCTTTTTTCAGTCCTCTGTTTTTTCTTGCATTGAGACAGCTGACAGAGGCAAGGAGTGTTGGGTGGGTTTTTTGTTATTTTTTGTTTTTTAAACCTGGATACATGCTTACCCTCTCAAATTGCATGTGACTAAACTTAAATTTCTCTTTGAAAGCTGGAATTTTCCTCTGTGAACGTTATATTGAAATAAACGTGAGTTTTCTTCTGCAGATAAAACTAGCCACTCTAGGAATTACATCTGCGCATAAATCTTTAAGCTGTTAGCCATTTGGAGAACCACATCTGATCAGCAGAGAAAGGACTATAGTATCAGAGCATACACGTTTTAAAATCTCATACATTGCTAGGTGAGGAAGAAATTTAGCTTAGCTATAGCTTCCAAGAACAAGCTTCCCAAGTCAGCAACCACTCTCAGAAAAAAATTTTGAGGGGCCTTGTTAAAAGTATGTTGTACTGTTTCTCAAGATCTTTTTATAAAAATTAAGTAGCAAATTTTTTTTTATTGAATAAAATTCTTGATCACCGACAACTGCTGAATTTATTCTCTCTTTACTACATGCAAAATGTATAGTCTATTCTTGGAAGAGATCTTAGTCTTCTTTTAAGAACTATATAAATGTATATTAGGAACCTAACAGAGACTCATGAGTCCTGGCTGTTCTGGGAAGCCCCAGGCTTCAATTGCACTCTATCCTCTTGGACAAGAAATTACTAGGGGAGCGTGTGATGCAGGAAAACTGATGGGACTCAAACTCTGTAAAATGTCTTTGAAGAATTTTTTCATTTATTTTGAATGATATATGTGTTTTGGGAAAACTCAAATTTGTGTTTTTTAGTGTTGATTCTTCATAAAGAAAGCTATCTTATTTTTCTTAAGGGTATCTGTACAGGACCATATATGGGATCAATGCACAGAGGAGTAGAAGGTCAGAATTTCTTCTGGGAGGGAATCTCTGAAGTGAATAATAATAATGGTTGGTAAAATGAAATGATACCTCCAAAACTATGGATGCTGTAACAGGCTTGTATTTTTACTATTTTTGTAACAGGAGATCCACATGGAACGCTGTGTGAATCTGACTGATGTTGCTGTGGAAGCAGTCCTCACTTGTTGTCCAAAGATACATATTTTTCTGTTCCACGGATGCCCATTGATAACAGGTGAGTCAAATCACTTCTGACCGTGTCTTCTTGCTGTCTGAAAAAGCAAATTATGTTTTGCAAGTACTCCCAAACAAATAATAAATGATTAGACAATGTGATCATCATACACTGGGGTTTTCCAAAGCAAGGTGAGAGCTTTGTCTTGAAACCTGACAACCTTCAGAGGTTCCTTTCTCAAAATGTTGATGTAGACTCAGATTTACGAGGAGACTTCATAAAGAGATTTAAGCACATAAAAACCTACTGTATTCAGAAAGTCTGGTACAGCCTCCATTCAAGAAACAGTGGAATAGACTAGGACTGATCAGCCTGAAAGAAAACAACTTCAGGGTTTTATGATAGAGGTCTGAAAAAACAGTGAGGGTATGGAGCAAAGGATAGTGAACAGTATTTCTTTCTATAAATGAATGAAGGATATCAAATAAAATCTGGATTTAAAAAAAAAAAAAAAAAGGATTTAGAAAAAGCAAGAACTCTTCATGTAGCAGATGACAGACCTGTGGAACTCATTACTGAAGGATGTCGTCCATGCTAAAAGTATACAGAACTCGGAAGAGAAATTCATGGAAGGTTAAATACAGGGAAACCGCGTCCAGCTTAGGAAATTCCCCTCAGCTGAAAGTAATTGGAGAATGGAAGGGACCTGGGGAAGGTGTCTTGCATGTTCTGTTCTTGTTCTTCTCAAGGCATCTACTCCTGATCACTGTTCTTACTGGTCATTCTTTTAGCCACAGGGAAGTCCATTCTCAATCAATCCTCAGCCTTCTCCAAGAAGGAAGGGCCAAAGAAGGCAGGGGAAAAAAAACAAATGAGTTTGGGAAAAAATGAATGGAAAAAGAGAGGAGGGCGAGGGTCACTCAAAATATAAAAGGAGTGATGCCAAGGCCTTTGGCCACTAACTTCAGCACAAGCAGTAGTCACAAGGGCCATGCTGACTATTTGCTTACTAAGCAGAAAATAACCAATCAGATGAAACAGCAGTTGAGAGTATAGTGGTTTAATGTTGTAATGGGATTAGAAATAGTTAGGAGGAAGCAGATATTTCCATTACTTCAGATCACTATTTTAGCATAGCGCTGTGTTGCCCAACATTGTCAAATGCAGTGTTACCACAAGATCTTCATCATGCGTATCCCAAACAGTGCTGATACCAGTGGTTAATGTGCAGCCCCATGTTTTCTTGCAATGAAACATTGAACTTATGCCTGCCTGGTATACAAAAATGAAGCCCCCGAGACTGCTGAAGAAAAAAATCAATCACTTTGGACTACATAAATCTATACTAGAACAGAAAGAACTGACCACCAGGATCCTACTTCTCCTAGTGAAGAAGACCGCACCTAGCCAGTGATGTATGTTTGCTCAGTTAATTCAGTATGTGGGCATATTAAGCATCAGCTGCCAGATAGGCCAGTCAAGACAGAGGAAAGTCTTGAGGACCGTGGAGCTGAGATGGCTGCACAGATGGCAGTTCTTGATGCACTCATTACCTGAAGCCCACAGGCTGAGTCAGGAACTGCTCAAGCTTCACCAGGTGCTCTTCAGGTGTGTACAGCTCCTGAAGGAATCCCACAGAGTGAATATCAAAACCGGATGCCCACAGGGAACCTGTGAGGTGTCCACCCTGTTAAATGCCTTCTCCTTTTTGAGGGCAGGAAGGGAGATAACCGACCATCCCCTATATACCCCTAGTAGACGTCTCTGGCCTGATAAAAAGTTGTCAGAGATTCTGCGGCCCGGAAGCTTATGCAGAGAGACTGGGACAAACTCTGGTGGTGTGGTCAGGGAGTGGTTTTCCCTCAGCCTTTTTCCCATATCCCAGTTTCCCTGCTATTTCTTTGCCATGATACTGGGTCTGGGAAGGGAGATCTGAGGAAGGGTAGTTTTTAGAAGAGTTTCAGCTCCTCAGACAGCACTGCAAGAGAGGCCAGACTGGGGATAGGTGTAGAAAGGAGCAGGGAAGAGACTGAGGGAGGGCAGTGCATGCTGTATATGGGAACCTGCGCAAAAGGAAGTGGGAGAAGGAGGGTGGAAAAGCACCTGTGTGCTGCATCTTTTCTGTTTCTTTTTTTCCCCTTTTTTTCCTCTCTCTCCCTTTTTTCTACCTCTATTCTTCTTAACTAAGGGGGAGAGGAAGGAGGATAGAGGAGCAATAGGCGTTGGGAGGAGACTTCTTCCACTCGCTCTGGACAGCTGTTTGTGGGGCTGCAGCTAGCTATTGTGCAGTCTGGGGCAGAAGGAGCAGGGAAGGTCCTTCTGCAGCTAAAGGCATTGGATGTAGCAGTGACCACGGAGCCCCTGGGGTGCTTGAAGTTATGGGGAGTGCAATCAGGTATGCAAGGGGAGGCCTCCATGGTGACAGTGATTCTTATTCTTTTTTTCTTCCCTTCCTTCTGGAAAGGGGAGAAGTTGGAGCTGGAGGGGCAGGGAGAGAGCTTCAGCACAGGAGCTGCTCCTCGGGCTGTGTCCAGAGCTGCCTGCCTGCTGACTTGCAGGAAGCTGCCGGAGCCCCCCTTCTCTACCTACTGGCTCCTGTTGGAGGCAGAGTACCAAGGGGGATGAACTCCGGTTGTTTTTATGCATCATATAAAAGTGATACTGTATCTGAAGGGATTTACAACCTAGTGAACCTGTACCACTGCTCTAAACTGTGCATTTTTATGTCACTAACATAAAGAGTCATTACAGTATCATTAACAGAGGTTGGTTGACTGCAGATCCACAAGTAGATCAGCTTTCTCGGACTGTTCTGACTTTTTCACCTCTTTTATTCTCGTTTTTCCAAATATAGGATATACTTACCCACTTTTGCTTGTTTGACAACTGACTCTATAGAGATTGATAAATACGTTCACTATATGAAACCAGATTTTTGATTTTCACATCAAAGCAAACTATAAGAAAGTCCAAGGAAATCGGAGAAAAAAACGGGCTATCAGTATTACGTACTGCTATATATGCTCAAGAGAGCTGAATTACAGCTGCTTTGGTAACCATAACTTTGTCTTTCCTGAGCCTTACGTGATTAAAGCAGCCATTTTTTTAAATTTGCATTAATGCCATGGCCATGCATTTGTTGAAACTGATATCAAGAGGAGCCGCTTAACCAGGTGTGAATAAGCAAACTTGATTTACGATGCAATGGTAATCAATGTTGATCCAATTTACCTCTTCCCTGAGAAAGATGGGGAAAGAAAGGTTTTTTTCAGGGAAATGATTTCAATCTTCTCTTTCTGATTTAGAAAAATACCCTTATGCAAGGAAGTGTTTAAACACAGGGGTTTTTTATGTTTATTTTCCTTTATTAAGGCCAGACGTGGCTTACCTTTTTTTAAATTGTTGCTTAGTCTGTTTTTATTTCCTTTTATCAGATTAAATTTCTATTTTGAAAATAAGACCATGAGATTATTTTCCCAATGTTTTAGCTGTGAGTGTAGGAACGTCACTTTTTCCTTTGTGGGCGCATCACTTGGACAACATGATCCCCATGAGTGCTAATTTGAAGATACTTAGCCATCAAACAGCGGTGATCTCTGGCCTTTTCATACTCTATATTTAAAAGCAGATGACTTGCAAAAAAATGACCTGTTGTTAGTAGTCCAAAGAAGTTATTTACTGTTTTAAGTTTTAATACAGTCTTCTTGCCCATCTTTCTGTATCACTCCCATTGCCATCCTTATGTTCTGTGGCTTTTTTCCTTTGCTTCAACTTCAAGCTTCTTGTCTTCGTTGCTAAGGCTATTTGTAGCTCCATACCCCTTTTGTCCTCTCATTTCTTTGTTTTCCTCATTCTTTGCCACATCTTGTCAGATAATCAGTTGTACTAGCCTTTTTTCCAGTTTTCTTGATGTTTTGTCACCATCCCCATGCTTTCTTTAATGGCTGTCCTGTATATTAATGTTGTCTAGTTAACTCATATTTCCTCTTTTTTTTTTTTTTTAACCTCTGAAAGATGTTCTGCTTCTGTGATACCTACTAAATGTAGGCTAGCTAGAAAGGAGCAACCTGAATAGCAGCTAATCATAGCTGAGCGTACTCATGAAATTCTAAAAGGAAGAAGAGACATTACTCTCCCAAAATCTGTCTTTTTTTTGTTATGTTGGGTTAGGTGATGGTGCTTTACAATTATGTGATTGAAGAAGGAACTGAATGGTTTTGAATTATTTCAGCTATACCTAAAGCGTGTCCTTCTAATGGCAAGCTAAGCATAAATACAGATACAATTGAATGCTTTTGTTGTTTACCTAATTTTTGTACACCACTTATTTTTATATATTAAAAAAAATGTATATAAATGTATATATTCTGAATGAATAACAAGCAATTCCTTGTTTCTTTTGCAGATCGTTCCCGAGATGTTTTAGAGCAGCTGGTTGTATCGAACAAAATCAAGCAAGTGACATGGACTGTTTACTGATGGCTATTTGTCTGTGTACATACAAGTGTGAAGTTTACAGATGAGAGAGCTGTTTCAGAAAACAGCCACCTCTGGAGAGTAGCTGCCCCGCTGGTGACTTTTGTATCAGCAGATGGCTTCACTCCCTGTTCCCGCCAGAGGTCTCTGTTGCCATTCCAGTCCTCACTCTGTGAGTCAGGGCTTTGTAGTGTCTCTGCTTAGAGCCTGGTCTTTCTTTGCATGGCTGGTCATACTGCATTAAGAAGAAAGTTAAATTATAATTAATATTACTATATCATCTCTCAGCCTCTTTGAAGGATCAGATTAGGCTACTACTTAACATCTTACTCTTAGCTACTTATACAAACACATTTTAAGTAAGTTCCTGTCCTGAGTTTATAACCTGAGAGGGTAGTCACAATTAAAAATATCAAGCCCAAACATAGTATTAACACTTACACAGAAGTGTTTGTAAAATTGAGGCTTAAATCTGAAAACGGTGAGCAGACAAAACTAATAAATGAAAGTGGCATTACCAGCAGTGCAAGTATATTTTAAGTAGTAACAAGTAGTCTCCTTTCACTATATACTTTCCTGGGTCTGGAGGAAAAACAGTAGATACATTTATTTATGGTGGTACTAACGCTGCAATTTTGTTTTTTATTTACCATCAAATACTTACTGGATCTTTACAGTTCCAAAACTACAGTCTGTGAACATATAAGCATAAAATTGTCTTGAAATTATCATTGTCATTTAAGGAGTTTCAGAATAGTAGTCATGACCAATAAGGGAATTCTGTATATTAGCAAATACTCATTTGCTTGGGTTTTTGCCTGTATTTCTATGTGAAAATCTTCAGCAGGAACAAAATGCTGCTGCTCGTAAGCATAGCTGAAAGTGAAACAGGACCAGACGTAGGCTCTGCGCACATGAATCTCAGGATGGTAGAGTTCAGTTCAGTTCATTACATCTACAGTGGCCTACAGAAATTGAAAATATATTTATCTGTATTGTTCAATTATAGTCATATTTAAAAGCAAAGTTCAGTTTCTGAAGTATAGATAAGTTTATTACATGATGTAGCAAGGGTCTTACCAAAATTATAAGTCATATTCAGCGGGTCTGTTGAAGCAAGAAACAGCTAGAGATCTTTTATGATTTCTACATTAAGCTTAAAAATGCTAGTCATTTTAGTGTTACACAGGGTGGGGGGTAGCACACTATGTTGATGTTCTGCATCTGGAACTAGCAGGACTTAGCTAGGGAGGTTTTACATGGATCTGGTGACACTTAGAAACCCATGAGTTTAGGTAACCATAAGGAATATGTTTACTTTATAATCCAACACTGTCACAGGCCACACTCACTTCAGGTGTCACAGAAATAAAACAGTCTTCTAATCTATTTAAAGTTCAGGTCAAACTGCATTGAAGATAGTAATACATATACATATACATATATATATATATGTAGTAATACATATATATACATACACACACACACACATGTAATATGTATATGTATGTAGTAACACACACACACACACACACATATATATATGTAGTAATACATACATACATACGTATGTATGTATGTATGTATGTTGCATCCAGTAATATTAAAGGATATTATGAAGTCTGACAACAATCTCTGTTCTTCTCTTGGTTATACGGGTTATGGAGGAGCAAATTCTATTTAGTAAATGTGCTAATGCATAATCTTCTTCAAACTCAGGTGCCTAAATTCCTAACTCTGGGTACCATGCAGTACTATGGCTTAGTGCAGAGAGGACTGTGTTCTCATGATAGCTATAGGTAAATTGCACCAGTGCAAACCAGTCCTGCAGACAATAGTTGGTTTTGCTACAGTCATAGCAACTCGCACCTAAAGGCTGTAACTGCAGCAAGTCCTTGGACCAAATAAAGACCTAAGAACCTAAATATATATTTAGTTTTAACCATCCATGTTTGAAAACGGGTTTTATTCCTTCTTT